CACGCTCGCTGCGGCGCCCGCCGCTGCCGGCCCCGCCGCGCCCTCGGACCCCGCCGCGCCCTCCTCGGCGCCGTCGGCTCCCGCCTCGGCCGCGCCCTCGTCGTCGTCCTCCTCGGGCTCGCCCTCGGGCTCCGAGATCTGCGCGGCGATCTGCATCTCGAAGATGGTGTCCTCGCAGAAGCTCACGAAGAGTTCCATCTTCTCGGACTCCCCGCCCTCGTTCACCACGTCGAAGATGAACTGGCGCTTGGACTCCTTCACCTGCGGAGCGGGCGGGGAGACAAGGGGTCACAGGAGCAGCCTACACTCTACGCATTGTTCTTAATAGCAGCGTTAAATGTATGCTTATTAATTGTACTTCAGTCATTTAAAGCAAAATTGATAATTTTCGTTATTAATAGCGAACATATAGCATTCACTGTAGGCACTCTCGTAAGCACTTCAACAAGGCTGGGCCTTGTAGTAGGCATCTTACATATATTATCTAATTGAACCCTCACAAAAAACTCGTAAGAGGCTCTTCACCCCATTTTACAGATGAGGAAATGGAGGCCCAGAAAGTCACGTGCCCCAGGTGACGCAGCTGAGAGGTAACTGAGAAGTGGCACATGTGGGGTTCAAATTCCCAACAAGCTGGGTACAGAATCGGATTTTTTAGCTTATTTTAGAAACAGAGTATAGTACTTGAGCAAAAGGTTCCGCAGCCACCCTGCCTGGGCTCAAATCCTGATTCTGCTACTGAGTAACTGGGTGATTTAGATGTAACTCTGTGGGCCTCAGTTGCCCCTCTGTAAATTGGGAGCCTATGCTATAGGGTTGGTGTGAGGGTTAAATGAGTTCCTAGATGCTGAGGGGTTAGAACAGCGCCTGGCAAGTAATAAATGCTGCCTAGTGTCTGCTATTATTAGACTGCTGCATAAGTGCTTCAGGTCTACACTGATATATGGACTCCTGACCAGCAGAGGAAAGTGGGAATGGGAAGTGGTGAGCAGGAGGAAGTGAGTGTTTGATGGAACAACACTAAGGGAATGAGTGTCACGTGGGGAGCCCATGACAGGCAAAGAGGAGGGCAGAGCTCCAACAGAATGGACTGGAGTGTGAAGGGCCAGCAGTGAATGTAGCAGACATCTAGGTGCAAGGATGGTACAACCACTTTTATGCCAGATTGGGGAGATAGGTGCCCCAAGGGACACAGGTGAGAGTGCAAACTCTTGAGGGTTCCTGTGGAATATGTGCGGGGGCCGATGTGCAAGAGCCTTGTGAGAGAGAACCAGGGGCTAAGGGAGGAATCGGTGTGAGGAGGGGTGGCAGCATGGGAGAACTAGGAAGTATGTGACCATGTGGGGCTCAGTGTGCACTGTGGACATGAGCACACAAGAGAGGCATGCAAGGTCCTGGAGCCAAAATGAGGGGGCAGTGTTAGTGTGGGAGGGGTCTACAATTCACAGGATCAGTGCATGTACGACAGACATTAGTGTACAAGGGGGACCGGGGAGTCAGTGCAAGAGGGCCGGGAACATGAGGACAAGGCTCAGTGTGCGAGACGAGCCCAGGTGTGCATGAGTCAGGTGTCTACTGAGGAGGAGACACGAGGGGCCCAGTTGTTGAAGTGATGGGAGTACAAGCCTCATGGGCACACGTGGGAAGTGGGAAGAGGTGTGCAAAAGCATGGGGGAGGAGTGTGCAGGTGCCTGGGAGCACCTGAGGAACAAAATGAAAGTGTGAGTTCAAGGAGTGTACAAGGGGTACGCAGGCTTGGCGTGCAATGTGCATGAGCAGGAGGGCCGCCAGGGCAATGGGGGCTGAGGGTGTGTGAGAAAGTGGCCAATGGGAACCACATGCAAGCTAAGTGTGTGACGTCGGGGGAGGGCATGCCAGGGCCACACGAGTGTATCTTGGGGCAAGTGTGTGTGTAAGGGGTATTCAAACATTTGTGGGATGGGCACAGGAGGGGCTGAGACAGGGCACATCAGGCCAAGGAGTAGGTCTGGCCACCAAAGACATGCGGGGGCTCTTGTGGGTGAGTTTAAGAGGGTGGTCCAAATGTGCATGGGTGATCATGTGTGCCAGGGCTACACTGAGGGCATGTGGGAGGTGAATGAGTGAGGGGTGGACAACCGTATGGCATGCCAGGGCTACATCCTCCGAGTGAGTGTGCAAGAGATGTGCATCTACATGTAAGCCCAGATTAAGAGGATCGGGCATTGTGTTCTAGGGCCTGGGGTACATGCGGTGACTGGTGAGGGCTGGGCCAGCAGGCCCCCCCAACTGGGTCCCCAAGGTGAATGTGCAAAGAGTGGGCATGGATAGGCCAGGGCCAAGAGAAGGCACACCAGGTGCTGCTAGGAAGGTGAGCAAAGAATCTATAACCATGTGGGTTCCAGTATGCGTGGGCTTGGTTGCATCAGGACCATATGGGCTCCCAGGATGAGTGTGGAAGTGGTAGGCATGGTGTGTGAGCAGCCACAGTGAGGTCACAATGATGCTGCTGCAGGTACAAAGGTGTACATCCATGTGTGCACCAAGGCTGCAAGAGTTGGGCAGGTGAGAACCGAAAATGTGCAAGGGCACAGCAGGGCCCATAAAATGTGGTCAAAAGGTTGGGCATGGGCTTACATGAGCAGAGTAAGGGCCCATTAGGGCCTGCAGAGCAGATGTGCAAAGCGTGCACAGCCCCATGTGGGGTCCAAGTGTGAGAGGAGTCCCAGAAGGTAAGCATGCATGCGCGCAGGCCCTCTGACCTGTGGCATCTCCCACTGGGTGCGATTCGTCTCTGAGATCTCAAAGTAAATGCGCTCGATGCGGCGCGAGGCGCCCATGATCTCAATGCGGCCCAGGTAGGGCCGGAAGTACTCGAGGATGCTCTCGGCCAGCTCTAGGAAGTTGCGCAGACGTGGGTCATGTGGCACGTGCTCCGACAGATTGGTCAGCAGTACTGCCACGTTGAAGCCGATTTCGCGAGCTGGCTCCTGGAAGCGGTTGGCGAACTCTTCACAGTTGATCATCTCATTCTCATCCGCTTCAGAGCACGAAAGCAAAAACTGGATTTCTGGACCGGTGAACTGCTTTTGGCTGTCCATGGCCTAGGAGTGGAGAGGGGAGAGGGGGAGGTCAGAGGGATGGCCTAGGGAGCCTCAATGCTCTTCTTAAAACAACTACGGATTTTTCATAAAGACAGAAAAGTCCAGAATCATATCACCAGCACCCAAAGCTGACACTCAGCAGGTTGGCATGGCCAAGGCGGTACCAGCCATTAAAATGCTTCATTTCCACAAAGATGAGCTGCCATCCCCTGTAAGATATATTCCATTTTCAGAGATGGTAAGATGTGAATTGATGAAATTCAGCACTGTGGTAGTAAATGGTAAGAGATGCTACCCCATGCTCTCTATGTGCCATCCTGGTATGCTGCCCCTGTAGGCCCTCTCTCCATCCTTCCATCCTTCCTCCCTGCTCCCCAACCCCCCACCCACTTCACCTGCTTGATGGCACCCACTGTTTGGACCAGAGGCCCTCTTGGCCCTCTGGCTGTACGTGGGGTCCATCCATTTGGGGTCAGGTAGCAGGAGGAGAATTGAGTGTGGTATTTCTCTCCCCTGACCTGGCTGGGTCAGATAGCAAGAGGAGAATTGAGTGTGGTATTTCTCTCTCCTGTACTGGCTGTGCCCCTCACTCCAAGGTGAGTCCTGCAGCCCTGTCCACACAGCTCCTTCTATCTCCAAGTTAGGTAACTACTCTTTCCTCCAAGCCAGCCCCCTCAAGGCTAGGGCGCTGACTGGTACAGGCCACCACTTCTGCCCCTTTCTCAAAGCCCTCTCCCCAACGATTTCCAGCAACTAAATAATTGACACCTGACACAGTGGAGGACTCTGAATTTCACCTGGGAACAAAGAGTCATATGCCCATCACCCAGAGGTAACAAATGCTCACAATGACATATTTTTCAAATACTATATGTTGAAGGACTAAAACATTACAGGTATGATTGGAGCCCTCTGTGTATCCGTCTCTTTATCTATTCCCCACACCTTCCCCTAAGATAACCACTATCCCAGATTTAGTAGAGTCAATACTTCTACCTTTATCCCATCATTTTCTCACACACACACACACATACACACACACACACACACAAAATAGATCCAGTACCCTGTGTATGTGTTTATTTAAAGAATTGCTATTATAATTAATGTAATTTGAAACTTGCTTTTTTCACTCAACTGTGTGTTTTCAGGATCTATCCATATTGATATATAGATCAAATGAATTCATTTTCACTGCTGTGTAGTATTCCTGTTTTATAAATATAACACTCCTTATTCTCCTGATGATGCACATTGAGATTGTTCCCAGTTTCACTGAACATTCTTGTGCTGATCTCATTGGCACTTGTTGCAAGAAGCTCTCTAGGGCAGTTTTCCAAATGACTACACCCACAGTAAGAATACCTTTTACCAAAAAAAACCAAAAAAAAAGGTTTCACGACACAATTCTGACTTTCACTGTGCAACACACTCTATAATATTCTATTTTATTTTTAAAGATGCTGGTCATGACTTAACTAAATTTCATGACCCACAGGTAGGTTGCAACATGCAGTTTGAGAAATGCTGCTCTGGGGTATGAACAAAAGCGAAATTTTCTGTCTCTAAAAAGTGCTTTGTAGCTAAGAACTTTGCAAAATGCTTTCTAAATGAGTAACATGGTTTGCAAATCATGAAGGGCTCTAGAAACCGCAGAGCGTGGAGACATAATCACACAGGAACTGTTCACCTTCTTTCTTCCCTTCACCAAATCACCTCCTTCCCTTATGATGCAGTGTGACACTGCCCCTCTTAAAAGCTCTCCCCACCCCGCTACCCCCCTCTCCAGAGGCCTGGGACTCCATCCCCCTCCATTCAGTCCTGGACTCTGCTCTTATGATTTGCTGCTCTCTCTGTCATTGTCCATTTGCCCACCCCCTTCTTTTGAAATATGTATTTCTTTTCTGACTGTTGTCAGTTTCCTTTACTGAACTCTTGTTCTCTTCCAGGCTGCTAAAGGTTGGGGGGCTCCAAACCTGGAATTGACACCCCTTTCTTTAAGTATATACTCTCCGCGGAAATATCACTGAGGCCCAAGGCTCTGAATGCCATCCCATCCCAATGACGGCCAAATCTACATCCCAGCCCTGACTGCTCTCCAGAGTCCAGACATTTCCAGCCGAAGCCCCGCCTGACATCTCTTTGTGGATCTCTACCCCAAATTGGAAATCACCAACACTGAACTCTTGATTTCAAAACCTCTCCTCCTACAGACTTACCCATCTCAGGAATAGCATCACCACCCACCCAGCAGCTTAAGCTAAAATCTTTGAGTCATCCTTGATTCTTCTCTTCTATCTCACCACCTACACCTTATTCATCAGCAAATCTGTCAGCTCTGCTTTCAACAGGTCTAGGACCCATACACTTCTGCCCCCTCCATGGCCCCCACCCTGTTTTTGCCCTCTATTGTCACCCATTGGACCGTCACAGCCACTTCCTTCCTGATCTCCCTGCTCTCCCTCTATCCCCACACACAGCTAGAGGGACTCTGGAAACATCTGAGTCAGGCCACATCCCTCAGCCCCCACCCCCACACTCAGAATCCTCCCTTGGCTCCATCTCATTCAGGTTAAAAGTCAAAAAGTCTTCCCTGTAGCCAACCATGTCTGCCCCCCTCGCCTCTCAGACTTTATTTCTCCCTCTCTCCTCCTCAACAGCCGTCTCCTGCCCCATGGTCTCCTTTGCATCCCTTTATTCCCACCTTTCAGCCTTTACATTTGCTGTCCCCTTCACATGGGATGCCACAACCTCCCCGCACCTTCACATGGTACCTTTCAGCTCTCGGCTTCAGTGTCCTCTTCTAGAAAGACCTTCCCCGACCACCCAGTTTACAGGGCTCACTCCACCCATGCTCCCTTGCACGCTGCCCTGCTAATTTCCTTCAGACCACAGATTATAATCTGAGATTATTTTGTTTATTTTCATCTGCCCCCTCCCCACTGGGCCATCAGCTCTGAGGGTGGGCTCTCTGCTTTGCTCACTGCTGCACACAGTAGGTGCCCAACACATATTTGTCAAATGAATTAAGCATCTTGAAAGCTGAGAAGAGTTTATAACTGTTAATATTTTTGAAAATTAAAAAGTCAGGGTTTTGTTTTGTTTTTAATCCTGAACTTGTCTTTTAAACCATAGAGAAACGGAAAAGCATGCTGTAAAAATACAAAGATTTGTGAAGAGTCTGGGAAACCACGTGATGCTCGGTAAACAGTCAGGCACTTAGGAATGAGAAGATCGCCATTCTGCAATCTAATGAACTAACGTGTCTGGGCATTGACAAGAACGGCTGCTGACATCACAAAGGGAAAGACAACGAGACAGGATGTGCCTCCTGATGGACGGATGCAGCACCACAAAGGAAGGTGCTCGCAAAACAAAACACATACACACACACACACACACACACACAAAAACAGAAACAAAAACTCCACACCTGAATCTATTGAGCTTCTTGACCTAAGTCCAAGTTTACAGGAAACACGAGACAGAGGAACATGTTAAGTGAAACCATAAAGATGTATCAGCCTGATCCAAACTGTGGGAAAGTCAACAACTAGGACAGTGCTATGTAATGATAGCCACAAGCCACATGTGGCTACTGAGCATTTGAATCGTGGCCGGGGCAAACTGAGATGTGCTCAAAGTGTAAAATACACGTAAATACTGGATTTTGAAGGCTTAGTATGCAAAAACGAATGTAAAATATCTAATAATTTTTAAATTGATTACACATTGAAATAATGTTGTGGATATACTAGGTTAAGTAAATCATTGTTAAAAATAATTTCATGCTGGGCAGGCCGAGTGGCGCATTGGTTACGAGTTGGCTTGGGATGCCAGCTCTGAGCAGCACGGCCCGGGTTCGGATCCCACATTAGGGCCAGTGACGCTGCGCCCTCTACAGCTGAGATGGTGAGCAACAGCTCCACCTGGAGCTGGGCTGTCGTGAGTTGCCAGCAACAGCATAGGCTGCAGTGGAGCTGCAGTGGGTTGCCACTGGCTACTGTGAGCGGCTAGCAGCTGGAGTGAGCTGCCAGCAGCCAGTGTGAGCTGCCATGAGCCGCTGTGAGCAGCAGTCCAGTGATCGGCAACCGATCTGCCTCACCCAGGAAGAGCACAATGATAATACCAACATGGGCCAGTGAAGCGACGTCCTCCACAACTAGACTGAAGAACCAAAGGACAGCAACTTGTCTGTTCCGCTTCCTGGATTCCCCAACACTGTTCCCCTCCCCCAATTCCCCAATAAAATCTTTAAAAAAATTAAAAAATAATAATTTCATGTGTTTCTTTTTACTCTTTCTAAAGCATGGGTACTAGCAAATTTTAAATTATCCATGTTGCTCACATCATATTTCTACTGGGCCTCCAGCAGATAAATTATCAGGAAAAGGAAACATGATGGAGGAGAAGCAGTAAATACGAGGATTAAAGAAATATCAACCAATTGCAACAGGTGGGCCTTGTGTGGACCCTGGTTCAAAGAAGATGAAAAAAATTGTATGTGATAGGGCCAGCAGAGTGGCACGATGGTTAAGAACTGGCTTGGGATGCCAGAAGGCCCTGGTTCGGATCCCACATATGAGGGCCAGTGACACTACCCTCCTTTAAAAAAAAAATTAAAGAAAAATTGTATGTGGTATTAATGAGATTTGGAAACTTTAACACCAACTACATACTTAATGATTTAAATAACTGTAGATAGTTTTCATTTTGTTTTTGCTTAGGAGTGATAATGACCTTGTTGTGGCTTGTTAAATAAAAGGAAAGACTTTTAAGAACATATATCATACAATTCAATTTATAGGAAGTGTCCAGAATAGGCAAATCTACAGAGACAGAAAGTAGATTAGTGGGTGGCAGGGGCTTGGGTGGGGAAATGGGAAGTGACTGCTAAAGGGCACGGGGCTTCTTTTTTGGGGTGATTAAAATGTTCTAAAATTATATTGTAAGGATGGTTGCACAATTCTGTGAATGTACTAAAAAATCAATGAATTGTA